ACCGGCAACGGTAGGGTAGAAATGGTTTCGTTGCTGACTGTTCACTGTTCCTTTGAAAAACACTTTTCCGCCTAATATAGGCCGCAGCAGTGATGAATAATAGAAGAGAAAACATCTCGCTTTGATTAACTTCACTTCGGTTGTTGAATAAGTGCGACAGTTATTTCTCAGGCTCATTCATTCCTTTCATACCAACATTTTACAACTTTACCATCGCTCGAGGAATACTAAAATGGCGAATCACACGCCCCACTGAATCATGATGAACTGAATCATGGACTGTCTCAGTTGATGAGGCTTTTCTTCCGGCCTTCTGGAATTACGGATATAGATTATGAACGGATTGCTACTCTCGATGATAACACACGCTGCCGCGAAATGCTGCGCGTAGAATTAAAAGTATAAGCTGTGTAAGAAGTTTCGCTATAAACGGTCCTTCCCTTACTGAAATAGAACTCAATGAGTAGCATGTATTTTGTAGTTGACACATTGACTAATTAAGTAGGGTACGGCGTAAGCCTTTAGGGTGGGTTTGTTTTCCGTTCTTGAATAAAGAAACCTGCTCACCCCTTTGTCGCTTATTCGAATCCAGCCCGATTCTTATCCTGATTTCGTAACCTGTTTTTTAGCCTCTTCCCGAGGACGATGACAACTCTCCGTTGTCACAGAGTTGCCCTCCTCCGTCGTCAGCGACTGTTGAAATCGAAGAAGCTTCGTTGAAAGAGGAACAAAATTCTTGCATCTGTCTACAGGGTGGAGGCTCTTCTCGTAACATGCCAAACGAATGTGGTGAAGGTACTTTCTGATCCATTTCTATTGCTTATGCTCATATGCATTTTTTATTTTGGCAGAGGATGCTGGCGACGATGACTATATGTATCGCGAAAGTGATTCCGAATTAAGTGAGGAAGAGTTCAGGTTGGATCGAGCGACAAAAATTTCGCGTAGAAAATTTAGATTTTCTCTAATTGATGTTTTTCATGTTTTGCGATTTCCTGTTTCAGGCAAAGAGAGGACCACGTTGATCCAAGATCTGAAGCAGCCCCTTGATCGCATGCTCCAGCCACAGCCAAATCCCGTCGAGGTACATAATATTCGCTCAGCATCATTTTCAACTGTTCGCGCAGAAATATTCAATGTTCCGCATTCGTAATGAGAATCTATAGATTCTGAGCGATGAGCATGTTTATGCATAGTACTATCGCTATAATTTCGCAAAACTTTCAGTGATACGTATGCCGTAAACCAGCAATACCTATACTTTATATTTGGTAACTTTGTAATAATGCACATAAAGTATGAAAAAGGATGTGCTAACAGTACGGAACAGTTGCCATAGAAATACCCGTATCTGCTATTAAAGTACATGACCTACGGTACTCAGAATGTATATAAGTTATATGAGAATTAAGGAGTCGTTTTTAACTAAATCAAGAGATAAGAAATTACTGAATATCTGTGATTCTGATTCGTTCAGTCCGTTTTTAGTTTGAGTTTGCGTTTGCATTTTCTCTTGTATGACCTTCAATTACTTAATATGTCTTTAACATTTTTGCGAAGCAACTCTTTTTATAATAATGCTGATGCACCGTTGTTTACGCCTCCGGTGTTTAATGTGACACCAGATGCAGTTTGCTCAGTGTATCGATTTCGTCGAAATTAATTAGCACAGCAGTAAAGTGAAGTTCTTTCCTTCATGGTTGTCAAATGCTATTAATTTATAAATGTAACTGTAGTGTCGAAACGGTCCATGTGGCACAGACCAAATGCCAGTTAGTCAGTTTCGATGACTGTTTATCTTCTCGGGTCGTGGAGGCAAACGCTTCACAGTGTATCCAACGTTCCCGATCCTGTTCCATTTTTTGAGCTACGGATCGAAATTTTTCAGTCGTGGCCCGCGACTCACGACCGTAGGTGAGCATCTAGAGGAAGATTGACTGGAACACAGACAGCTTAGTCCTCAGAGTTAGCTCTGCCTTAGTCAAAGAGTTCGCGCTAGTTTGTGTAGAACATCGCTGACTATGTCAGTTCGCCAGTCGATCTCTTTACGATTTTACATCACCAGTAAAGAGGACCATAAAGTA